CACACACACACACACACACAGAGCCACGGCCTCGCCAAGCTCTCCAGTCAGGCTTACGGATGCGGCTGGGGTCGGAACCGTACTACCGTCTTCACCCGACTAGAACGCCCGGTCATTATAGCTGTATTTGGCACAACTTTCAGCCCAGATACGGCGATAATTACCGGGCGTTCTATTCGGGTGAAGAAGGTAGCAATCACGCCAGCGGGTATCCATGGCTGAGTGGGTATGTAGAGTGTTTTTTTTGGCTGTGACAGACTAGTTTTCCAGAGTTATGGCCATTGTTGTCAGGGGTTTGAACCGACAATATGCTAGAACTGCAGGGTCGGTGTGAGTAAAGTCGAGTAGTTTTGTCTCTTTCTAGGGTATCCACTAACTCTGGGCAACGTTTTTGAGTCCTTATCCATCAGTCAAATGCATCCTGGGCAGACTGTCTGTCGGGGTTCAACCCCCTGATGAGCTGGGGTGAAAGTCCAACGAAAGAGTATGATGACGATTGCAAGTTGCACCATTCCCTCCTGGACTGCAAGTTGTACCAAGTACAGGTATGATGACCGTGCGTTCTATTTGGGGGAAGACGGTAGCCTTCCAACCTCCGCTGTAGCTGTCACTCTGTCACTCCCTCAGCATTGACAAAAGCAGTAGGGGCAGCATTGAGGGGCATATCATGACAGTTCAGGGACTAGGCCAGGCGGTTGAGGTGTAGCATCACATGAATACCTGATGGATGCTTCTGTGTGTGTGTGTGTGTGTGGGTGTGGGTGTGTGGTGTGTGTGTGTGTGTGTGGTGTGTGTGTGTGTGTGTGTGTGTGAGAAAATGGTTCTGTTCCGAAAGCCTATCACCTCTTCTAGTTTATCAGTGTTGCTTCCCTTCTGTTGCCTCGGTCTTCCTGTTTTACTGAACTCTGTCGCCTTCCTTGTGTGATTGAGGGCCTCACCTCACCACTCCTTGAATGTGCAAAATGCAGCATGTATAGGTTTTGTCTTTTTCACATTCTGGGAGTGGTGTGGCCATGCCCTGAGTCCTTAGTCCTGCGCTTTACGCTATGGTGATTGCAATTCGAAACAGCATGCTCAGGACACGAGTCCTTTCGTCTTCTTGTGCCTCTGAACTCTGTTACACAAGGTCTCAGGTTCAAATCCTGTCCCCTTTGTCTTCTTCTGTACCCGGACTCCTTGCTTTTCTTCCTTTATACGTTATCTGGATGCTTAGAACGTGACTGCACGTGATCCCACGAGTGATACCTCGACTGGTTGCGTTGAGTGCATTGGGCCATGCACTGCCGTCTTCCCCCGAACAGAGCTCACAGTCATTAATTTATAATTTTATAGCTATTTTGGGGCAACAGTTCAGTCTAGACTCTAGATACAGCAATAACGACATGCATTCGACTCATGTGAAGATAGCAGTCCGTCCCAGAACATCAAGATGGTCCTTTTATGGACCTCGAGTAATGTCTTTGGTCGAGTTTAGTCTAGATACAACGATAAAGACCCGATGTCTGCATTTACTGTCTAACTCGATTACAAGAGATGTCTTAACCGGGGTCCTAGGGTGGCATGGATTTTATTGACTCTGGTTAAGACGTTGATCCTGCTTAAGACATTTAACCCTGGTGAAGAGAGGACGGCTACCCGGATTAACACAGCAAGAGAGACAGGGTCGCTGTCTTAACCAGGGTTCTAGGATCTCACTGATGCTGCTCCACTGTTAGTTAACCATGGGTTAGGGATTACATGCAGGCCTCGCCATATATGGGCAGCAAGTGTGAGAGTGAACCGGAAAAAGAGCCGCAAACTCCAGCTCAAGGAGGAGTCGGAGATTATTTTTTTATCGCTGAGCTTTAAAGCACCAGTACATGGGCACCTGGGCCGCGGGCCTGACACCTCAAATTCTGGAGGCGCGAAACGGAAACGCCACCGCCGATTGGATTTATCAACTGCGGCCCAGCGTTTGATGTTTCGACCTCGTTTTCTTGTGGCGACAAGTTTCGGACTGCAAGGCTGGGGCCGTGTACTTGTGGTTTAGTGATTGTGGCGCGACATTGCCATGTGAATGAGTCGATCCGAATGTGGGAGAATTGGTGGCGAGATGTAGTAAATTGCTTTGATAATTGTGCTGGAGCTCAGTTTTTCTCTTTTTCTTTTTGAGTGATTACTTGTAGATGTGTGCAAGCGTTTGCTGAATCACCTGTTTAATATGTGTGTGCCAATAGTTGTGCACAGCAGACACAGCTTTGCAATTTAGAGAAGTTTAGAAAAATGTTTGACCATGTACTTGTTGCGCGTGTCATGTGGTGCATGGCGCACTGGGAGTAGTAGGACCTGCACAAGGTGCACTCGCTGC